CACTTCTCCCTTGCGCAAGCGTCCTCGTTCCGCCCCCTGCGTCACACACCGCGTTGCCAGCATTGCACAGCAAAGCTGCCACTCCCTCCCGCCCTTGCAGACTGCGATAAGTTCAAACATGCGGAAGGGTTCAAAGATTCGAGAAGATTCTCGTCGAAAGAAAGCCCAACACCAAACCGATGCCCTCCCCCTCCCATGGCGCACATCGGGCGCCCCGTTTCTGAGAATCTGACATACACCCCGGCGCGGCGCGGCGCGGCACAGCCGCGTCGCTTCTAGACTATTCCCCGGCAAGTTAAAACAAGTGAAGAGTGTAAAGATTCGAGAAGATTTTCGTTGAACAAGCCAGGTCGAGCACCAAGCGTGCCCCCCTCCGCCCCCCTCGCGCACCGTCTCGTTTCCCGAAAAACTAAAAAATAGCCGTTGGCGTGGCGTGGCGTGGCGTAGCGTAGCAATAGGCATGCACAAGAATTCCACACACTGGTGAAAAGCCTTTTTCAAACACACACTGGTGAAAAGCCTTTTCCAACACACATTGATGAGGACTCACCAGGGCCCACAGGGCCATAAAACACGTAGCCATTGGGGCTGTTGCGAAGTCGTCAAGGCCACGAACGGGCACTAAAAAATCGACATCCTTACTTTAATCTGTTAACCATGTGCGATTGATTAAAACGCACTGAACATTAAGATTGGAGTAAGGGCGTCACAAAGATTCACGATTAAAAACCGTTATCAATCGGATTGCGCAACACTTTTGATGAACTGGTACTTACGTAGTTAGCGTCCACGTCGTCCTCCAGGTCGAGGTAAATGAAAACTATGGTGTCACCAGTGATGTGTTTGATGTCCACGATCTGTACGCTGTCATCAACAGAAACGTCGATGATGGATATGGCGTCCATGGCCGAGCACAGGCGGGGAAACAGGTCAGCACAGGAGCACTACTGGACACGAACTGAGCTGCTTCAAGGTCTCACGCTGCGCCACCGACCGTGGGGAGAGGTGGCGGGGCGTGGTGTGGCGCGCCTCGTCGGTGGTGGGGTAGGAGTCTCGCGGGGGAAGAAGACCCGTCGCTTCGCGCGTTGCCGAGCGTCCGTCCCGGCTCTCCACAAATGTTCTCATACTTGGAGTGTGTGTTCATGGTCAGAGTGCTCACAGAAATTGATTTACATGGCCAGGATTGTGGCCAGGTACGTGTGCGCTCATGGTCAGAGTGTCCACAGAAATTGATTTACATGGCCAGGGTTGTGGCCATGGTACGTGTGTGTTCATGGCCAGGGTTGTGACCATGAAGACACACATACCATGGC